CATTTTTGACATCCGTGAATTTGATACTAACTCCATGACAATTTTGCTGATGATATTTTTTTAGAGGTAGTTATCTAGTACTTGAGTGAGTCTGCGAGATTGCCCAGCCTTTGCATTGCTGTGCAGTTTTGTTTTCTTTCATCCTCAAGTTTGTTAAGGGATGTTTTTAATCTATACTTCCCATACTCTTATTATTTTTTCTTCTAACTTTGGTTTTTGACCACTTCAGAGTTAAAGTTGCAATAATAGTACAAAGAATTTGTAAATACCATTCACCATAATCCCCAAATGTTGATATTTTACCGTATCTGCTTTATTCTTTTTTCTTCCTTTTGCTATATACTAATTTTTTTCTTGCACCATTTCAGAGTGGCAGACATGTTGCCTCTTGCAACTAAGTACTTTTCAATGCATATTTCTTAAAAACAAGGATGTTCTCTTTCATAACCATAGTGCAGTTAGCAAAAATCAAGAGTTAGATTGTAGTCCATATCAGTGTTTAGCTACAGACCTCGTGCAGATTTTGCCAGTTGTTTGAATTATGTCCTTATTAGCAAAAGAAATTCTGAGATCACATCACACATTGCATTCAGCTCTCCTATCTCTTTCATCTCCTTTAATCTGGAACAGATCCTTAGTCTTTCGTTTATTGACATCTTTTGAAGGGTACAGGTCATTTATTTTGTAGTGTCCCTCAGTTTGGGTTTGTCTCATGTTTCCTCATAATTAAATTCAGATTATTGCAGTTTCAGCAAGAATACCACAAAAGTGATCTCCTGTATCCCATCAGGAGGTCGTGATACTGGCTTGTTGTATCTGATGATGTATACTGATGATGCTAACTCTGATCTCTCGGTTAAAGTGGTACCTGCAAGGTTTCTCCACATAATTAATAAGCCCAAGTCATCTTTTTAGTTATGAAGACTGAATTGTTAATTTTATGGTTAGAGTAGTGAGAATCATTTAATTAGATGTAGGATTTTTTTTTTTTTTTTAAATGTAGGCTCCATGCCTAGCGTAGAGCTCATTGTGGGGCTTAGACTCATGACCCTGAGATCAAGACCTGAGCTGATGAAATCAGGAGTCTAACCCTTAACCAACTGAACCACCCAGGCGCCGCCCCTGGGTGTAGTATTTTATTTTTGTTCTTGGCATGTGGCAGTGTTTTCAAGTATGTGTCAGTATATCAGATCAGAACATTTTTTTTTATGTTTAAGAAACTTAATGGTGAGCAGTGGGTTTGAAGAAGACCTAACAAATCCTGACCTAGGCTGTAGTGGAATAACTCAGGCTTTTGCTATTTTCACAATTTTTGAGAGCCCAAAGAATTTTAGCTCTTTTGTTCCCCAATTTGGAACAATTGCATTTAACTTCCTTAGAGTGTACTTTGCAATTTGCTTCATACTTTCATTAGAGTAGAAATAGGCATATGTCTTTTTAATTTAACTTTACTAGGTTGTATTTAAAACTATCTTCTTTTTTTTTTTTTTTTAAAGATTTATTTATTTGACAGAGAGAGACACAGCGAGAGAGGGAACACAAGCAGGGGGAGTGGGAGAGGGAGAAGCAGGCCTCCCGCCGAGCAGGGAGCCCGATGTGGGGCTCGATCCCAGGACTCTGAGATCATGACCTGAGCTGAAGGCAGACGCTTCACAACTGAGCCACCCAGGCGCCCCTTAAAACTATCTTCTATTAATATTTTAACTTTCTATTTAGATTTATAAGAGATTCTAACATAGGAACGATACAGCAGAGTTCCTTTTCTTTTTAACCTTGCCTAGCCTTTGGACATCTTGAAAAGGGGCTGTACAGGAATTGTATCACATACATTTGGTTCTGAAGGAGAACATGCCCTTGAAAGAAGAAAATATTTGCATCTGGTTTAGCACATTACTAGTCTTGTTTCCCTTCCCCCACTTAAATAACCTCTAATCAGATACCAGCTAGAAGGTACCTGCTTCCTATTTTCTTATCAAAGTTTTTTTTTTTTTTTTTTAGTGACATGCCCAGCCACAGGAGATGTTAAATAAACTACTTGAGTAGCCTCTTAGTGCTCATTCTACTTGAAAGAAAATTTTTCTTTTACTTTTTTGATGAACACTTTCCTATTTTCTTTATTGCTTTGGCATTTTCATTAGCGGATATCTTTTTGGTGACTGGAACAAATGTAACAGTAATCCATTTCTACAAAACAGTGTGCAGTCCTTGCAGACCAGTTATACAATAACTGCTCAAATTTCTTGCTTTGTAATGAGATCTCTTTAATAATTAACTTTCTGTTCTCTGAGAACTCTGCCTTTTCTTCTCTTACAGTATTTGCTTTTCATGTAAGAGCCTGCAAAATACTTTTTGTTTTGGTTTCTCTAACTTGAATCTTCAACTTGTAAAGAAGTTAAAATTTGTAGAGGGTCACATATAATCATTTGTACTTAAAGAAGAGCCATCCAGTTTGGGACTAGAGAGAACGTTAAAGAATGAATAGTAGAGTTTTACATTAAGTTGATACTGTCTTTATTCCTTAGCCACTAGCCTGATTGAATGAGTGTCTTTTCCTTTACCCTTGACACACTTCCCCAATTCCATCTCTGCAATGAAAAGAATCTAAATGTAGACTACATATCCTTTTTTTTTTAATTCAGTCAGTAGGCTTTTTTGTTTTTCCCTTGATACTTCTTCAGCTTTGAGAAGTACTGTCAGCCTCCTCAAACAAATTTTAGCCACCCCCCACCCCAAAAAAGTAGGAAAATGTACATTATAGCTGTCAGTGTTCTTGCTAGTTCACACATTCAATTGATTACAGGTTGCTGTTTTTCAACTTTAGGGAAATTAGTTCTTAATTTGGAGAAAATGTATTCATTTAACACATTTCTTTTTCTTTAACTTTTTGTAATGTAAAGTTTCCAGCATACCAAAAGTAGGACAGTATCCTGAACTCCCGTGTAGCCACCAGCAACCATCAGTTCATGACCAGTGTTTTGTTCCACCTATTCCCTTCCTTATTTTTTTGAAACAAATCCCAGATATTACATCATTTCATTGGTAAACATTTCATGATGTATAGCTAAAAGATTAGGGCATAAACCCAAAACAACAAAACTACTAAAAATTGGCAGTAATTTCTTATCTATTATCCAAACAGTATTAAAATTTTCTGTCTCAATTTTTTTTTTAACAGTTCAAATTAGAATCCAATCCAAATGGTGTTACTACATTGCAGTTGGTTGACATGTTCTTTGAGCATTTTGAAAATAGAATTCTGCTTTCTCTTTTTTTACCCTATAACTTTATATTTTTAAAATTTTCAAGTATTATAGAAATGTTATATCCTCCATATAGAATCATCACTTTACGACATTTGACCTATTTCTACATGTGTGTATATACTTTTTTTCCCTTTTGCTCAGTCTTCAGAAAATAAATTGTAGACATTGTGGCACTTTTCAAGTAAATACTGAAGCATTTTAGCTCCTAAGTACAAGGCATTCGGTATAATCACAATACCATATATCATGTTTAAGAAATTGATGTTTATATGGTATTAGCTAATGTGCAGTTCATATTCCTATTTCTCCAAGTGTACTAATAATTCTTTATAGATTTGGTTTTTACATTTTAAATGTCAGTTCAGCCAAAGGTCACACATTGATAGAATTGTTTTATATCTGGGGTATTATTAAATAGAGTAGCTGTTGGGCACAAGTTGTTATTGAATGCTTGAAATATGGCTAGTGGACTGAGGAATTGGATTTTAAATTTAATTTAAATATGTCACTACTGTATTGGACACTACAGCTGTAGAATATTTACCTCCATCTTTTAAATGTATTTTTATAACAATAAATTTTTTGAAGACTCTTGGCTAGTTTTTTTGTAGAATGTCCCTCAATTTGGATTTATCTAGTTGTTTTCTTAGGATAAATTCATTTTAAACATTTTTGGCAGGAATACATAGGTATTCATCATAGGAATACAGTGTGTCTTTCATAGTACATCATAATAGGAGGCACATCATGTCAATTTGTCCCATTTTTAGAATTCTCTTACCTTTTGAGGGTTTTGTTTTTTTTTTTTTGTTTTTGAGGGAGAACTGGGAGAATAAAGATAAATAAGATACATTTTCTGTTTGTAAGGAGTTTATAATTGAGTCAGAGGGAAACCTTTTTAGGCAGTGAAATATAAGACCAAATAAAATGAGTTAATAAGATACTTGGTGTAGAGGAATTTAATAACATTTATTGGACCAACTAGTTACTTATCACACCCCTACTATAAGCCATATGCTGGAGAAAAAGAACTGAATAAGGTAGACACAGTGCTTGTCTTTACAGAGTTTAATGTTTAGTGGAAGAGGTAGACAACAGTTTTTGTTTTTTGGTTTTTTACAGTTAGTTTTGATGAGTGTCATAAAATCTTAAGTTCCTGGTTAATAATTATTTAATTACAATTTAGCTTTAGTTCAGGAGGCATTGATAAACGTTATCTTTCCCTCCTTTTTCAAGAGTCCTTTGGGATTTTGGAATATTTATGAAGTTGTGCTCTTCCCTACACAGCCAGGAAAAATACTAATGTATCTCATAGTGCAGATTTCTTTTTATTTTTCTGTGGTACAGTATCAGTGTATGTAGGGTTTTTTGACAAGGGTGGACTGAAAATACTCTCACGGTTTAATTTTTATTTATTTTTTCTCATGGTTTAATTTAGATCTAATCCCATAAACTCTGTACTCTCTTTAAACCAATTTATTTAACTGGTGAACCTTTCCCTCTGAAATGGAAAACCTTTTTTTCTCTTCTTACCATTATCTATTCAGTGGCTATTTGAAAATAAAACTTTACATTTATACATTCTTTTTTTTTTTTAAAGATTTTGTTCATTTGACAGAGACACAGCAAGAGAGGGAACACAAGCAGGGAGAGTGGGAGGGGGAGAAGCAGGCTTCCCGTGGAGCGGGGAGCCCCCAGCCTGCTTCTCCCCCTCCCAGGACCCTGGGATCATGACCTGAGCTGAAGGCAGACGCTTAACGACTGAGCCACCCAGGCGCCCCTACATTTATACATTCTTTGTCCAAGTTTATTTGCAGTCTTTTTCTGCAAATGTATTTTCTACTTCTGTGTACTACTATATCAACTACTAATGAGTCTATTCACAGTGAGTATTGCTGGTTTTTTTTTTCCCCCAGAGATATACCGCATTGTTTCCCAGAAGCAAATGTCAGACAGACGTGAAAATGACATGTCTCCAAGCAACAATGTGGTTCCTATTCATGTTCCACCAACCACTGAAAACAAGCCAAAGGTGCAGTGCTGTCAGAACATTTAAGGCGTTTCTCTTCTCCCCTAGAAGGCTGTGTATAGTCCATTTCCCAGGTCTGAGATTTAAATATATTTGTAATTCTTGTGGTCACTTTGTGTTTTATTACTTCCTCATACTTACGAATTTTTCCATGTCTTAAGTCTTTTGATTTTAGCTTTATAAAATCATCCACTTGCCCCGAATGACTGCAGCTTTTTTTCATGCTATGGCTTCACTAGCCTTAGTTTAATAAACTGAATGTTTGGATTCCTCAGTTATTGTTTACTTTTCATCATGGAAGCCTGTCACTGTAGGACATACTAGAACTTGATCACTTGAAGCTCAGACCTATTGGTCTTGATCAAATCAAACTAAGAAGACTTTAGAAGAAATAAGCTATCATTTTGCCACAGAGCAGCTTATAATGAACAGCTTACAATTCATACACTCTTCTCTCAATGCAGTGTATATTTCCACAAATCTAAGAATTGCCCTATAAACACAGCAGGATTTTGAGAGCTTGAAAATTTTCCATTATTCTGGAAGTCAGTTTCTAAAATGCCTTAATAAGGTTAAGTAGTTTAGTAAATTTTGTCTTTTAATTTTTGTAAGCATCAGAGTTGATTAGAGAGGGGGACACTTTTTTCTGAATAAGAATTATCTTAATAAACAAAAGACTGTTTATGGTTTCAGTAGCAGTGTGGTTATGGAGCCATATGTTAAACAATGCTGCCTGGCAGGCTGGGAACTTGAGAGACCGGTGGAATTCCATCTGAGATGCCTCTGTTGCAATGATCAGGCAGACCAGATCACTGAACTCATCTAATTTCCCAGCAGTAGATTATGTGGCATTTTATTGCTCAGGCAATAACTGGTTTAATGCTGTTAGTATCAAATTGTGAAGTGTTAATTTTGTCTTAAAACCTTCCAGTAAATGAAATGCAACCTAGTTTTATCACCGTATCTATCAGCAGGCATGGATAATTATTTTAACTATGCTGATTTTTGAGTTTTGCAGTATATTATGGAATACAGTCCAGTTAAATATCTGGTTTCAGTATGTCTAAGGAATATAGTGAGAGGTTAATTTCTGCTCAAGTGGTACCACTTAAAGGCATGTATTCTAGTACGTAGTACCTTGAGTTTAAATAGAATGCATTTAGGCATTATACAAACCTGAACTACTTTTTCCCCACTATATTATTGAAATCAGTGGAGCAACTCGTTTCCCATTTAGAAATGTGCACACTAATACTGAGTTTTACTTTGTTGTGGATAATATTAAGCACTTACTCTGCAGTGTTCTGAAAGTTGTGTCAACTGAATTGATACTATTCAGGATGGTGGAATATCCCCCAAGTACAAAAATACATGTGTTTGGGCTTGCATAGATTACTATGTTTCATAGTTAATCTGTCTTTTGCGGTGCTCATGACGTGTGGGGCACATGACATGTGGGGCACACGGAAGGCATTGCTGTGGTCAGTCTTTTGGTTTTCTTCTGTAGCCATTTATTATTTTAGAGTTGGTTGGTTATGAAGATACTATTATCTATTTGTAAATCGCTACTTTGTATTTTATGCATGCTCTGTAACTTGATTTATTTTTATCTTTATTTTATTTTTTAGTTATTGATTTGGAATATATTCACATTCTAATAAACAGTTATAGGGGGACTATTCTTTATGTTGTCAGATTACATTTTTCCTTTGAGTGCTTTGGATGCAGCCATGGAATATTTGATTCTGATGAGTAAGAGCATAGGTCCTTGCATTACAGAGTAAACACTAAATTGGAGGCATCATTGTGTGAATTCAGCTTTGATTTTAGACATACGTTTCAGTTATGCTTTTCTTGGAAAAAGTATCACCAAAAACATTAAAGGAAGTAATCTTTGTACTTTCATATATAACAGTGTCACCAGACCCGGGAAGGGGCATTTACTCGAAATTGGTAGTAAATCTTTCACAAAATTATTTAAAAGAGGGAAACTCTAGGTGGTGAATTGAAAATGAGTAACTTTGAATTTTTATCAAGTATAGACTTAATGTTGCTGTGGCATGGTTGGATCTTGGGAGAATTCCAAGAACCCTTTAAGTAGTAGTAGAAAATGTCTTTGATTGCATCTTAACAGTGTCTTCATTCTGAATAGTATCTCAGGAGACAAACTGTCTCAAGTAAGAAACATTAAGTTTTAAAATATGACAGTGTAGGGTTCAAGGTAGTTTAGAAGTGTTTTGCTGCTTGACCCTGCTTTTCAGTCATTTTAACTTTGAATTTTTTTTTAACCTATTCTGAAAAGCCAGTTAGCCATCTTGACTTGATTTAAACATGTCATTGGTCTCAAGTGCTATCTATGATTTTATTTTAATAATAGTAGTTACAACTCAGTAGGGGTAAGTTATCATTAGCCATTGCATTGTGTATGCTAAATTCTAATTCTAAGAAGGGGTGCTAGCTGGTGACTTAGGCCAGCGGTCTTTTAAGTTCTGAAGGGTTCTGCAGAAAAGTTAGACGTCTGAGTTTAGATTGTCCATCAGAGCTTGTCCTATTTATTGTATCAGTGGGAAAACGAATATTTTAATTTTGTCTTCAGTGACTTGTATTTACAAAATACAAATGCTCTCAATGGTTTGAATGTTGTCATAATTTCTTCCATCTACCTTAAAGAGAAAAAAACAGTTTAGGCCGTTTTGGCCAGTACCAGAAGCAGAATAATTCAAAGCCTGGGTTGATATTAAGAACTTATTCCAGCCTGTTAGGTTTCAATTTACGGAGTTTTGTTTGTTTTTGTTTTTTAAACACAGGAAGAAAATAGAGATTGGTTATTTGATGTCTCACAAACATTTTAAGCCTGAAGAAAATTCGAAACAAATTACGAATTTTGTATAAGGATTATGCATGGCATGTATTCCCTGTATGGGGGGAAAAAAAACAAAGACCATGAAAGGATCCTCTTCTATCACATGCTTTAATGGGATAGCATAATAGGCTAGTGCTAAAAAGAGGAGGGCTGATTTTTGTTACCTTGGTTGGGTTGGTGCTGGTACCACACGCTTGCTGGGATTTGACAGGTCACGTTTTCCACTCACCTAAAGGATATGCTAAATAAACTGAAGTTGTCATTGGAATGTTTTAAAGAATGGGTTGTATTTCCCCAAACTATAGGAGGCCAAGGGTAACAATAAAGTTATATAAAATGTCATTACAGCTTCTGTAAAGGAGATCATAGGCTGAGATCATTTTAATTGAAGCATCCATTTCATTGAAAATTGAATTGGAGGATAGAGAAAGAATATCTGAAAGGACATTGATAACTAGGCATATATTAGAAAGTATGCTGAACTATTTGAGTTAGATTGAAAGTGGCAGGTATAATAGAAGAGTGGATTGGGTGACAAAGACTTGGATTCTAGTCACAGATCTTTTAGTCAATTTCTCTGCACCTCACCTTCTTCCAGTTAGGGGAATGGGTTAGATTATTTCTGGGGTTCATTCCAGCTCCAATTTGGCAATTCTATGAATGAACTCTTCAGGGACTAGAGCCAAATTATTACACATTTGAACTCAAGTTTAATAGATAAGTAAAAATCACTTTGCAAAATGTTTTTGGTCTTACAACTTGATTAAAATGTTACTATTTCCATGTTAACCTCATTCCATAAGATGAAAGATTTTAGAACATTTGCAAAATGACTGTCATTTTCAACAATATGCATCAAAGTATCATGTGCTTTGGAGGGGAGGAGCACTTGAGGGGCTGCTGTGTCAACTGTAAATTGAGAACTGCTTGTTTTGGCTTTTATTGTTAAAATTCTGCTGGCTTTTAATATATACTTTTAAAATATATTCATGTCTGGGTGAGAGAACTTTTAAAAATATCTTGTGTTTAATTTTTTACTATTATCTCTTACAGGCATCTGTAAGAAGGTAGAGCAGTCTATAGAGCTAGCTATCCGAGAGAATCAGTGATTAAATCCAAGTGTATAGGTTTTTGTGGCAAAATACACACGATATAAATGGCATTATTTGGCTGTTAGTTTACTAGTCTGATCATTTGAAATCAGTTATTTAACATCATTATCGGTAGGTCCCAGCACAGATGTCCTATATATTTGCTGTTAACTACTATATGTTACCAGTACCAGTGATGGTAGTGAAAATTAGTAGCCAGTAGGATTCCTTTTCTCTGTTTGAGTCCGTGGAACTTAACTTGCATGTTACTCCCATCCCAATGAGTAAGTGTATTGTTTTCAGATTCATTTCCCTTGACAACTTCCAGTCTCAGGGTACCATTTTCTCAGATCTCTCTAGGGAAGTGACAGATGCTTTTCTTTAAGAAGTTGCTGACCATTGTATTAGTCTCTGTGCCAAAGCATTTCATCATATGGCCCTAAGAATATTATAGAAGGTAAGGTCATGCCTGAAATGGGACAGTCTGGAAAGCCCCAGGAAGCAATACTATTTCTGCAGACTGTCTTTGATATGAAACCAACAATGCAGGATCTGTTAGGATCATCAGTTACTGGTTTTGGTTTACATTTAAGTGGATTCCTAAATAACAGGATTTTTAAGATTTCCAGTCCCTGTGCTTTCTCCTCTCCAAGGCTCTGGAGGGCCATCTGCTGGGCTAGACAATGGCTTGGGAGGTAGAAGCTAGAATTGAGGAGGGAATCTGACAACCCATCGCTACAAACTTGGGCTTCCGCCTTCTGTGGGTTTAGATTGGAGTCCGAGTCTTTCTAGCTCTGCAAGTCAGGGAAGAAAATGTATAATCAGTACCCTACTAATCACTATGGACCTGCATTTATCTCTGCCCTTTTGTAATTGCTAAATTGTAAGATCCATAAGCGTGGGAATGTTCATTGTTCATATTTACATTCCTAATACCTATCCCCCCTGCTATTCCATGTCAGAACAATAAAGAAGGGATCTAAAAGAGTGAGGGGGCTAATCCTAGGATTCATTCTAGTTTAGCTTGGGGAGCTATAGTCTGAGAACTACCATTCAGACTAAAAAATACTTCAATTAAAAGTTATATAAAATGATTATATAAATGCTATATAATAATTATACAGAAGTACAAATGACAGTGTAATGAATCCCTATGTATCCATCCATCCCTTCTGAGAAAGAGTCTGTCTCCTGTTGTCACATACTGATGAAATGGGCCTCTTCTGCCTGCCTTCTGGTTAAATGAATGGCTCATAGAATGTATCATTCTTGAATCTTCTGTGTTGAGTGCATAACCTGCAGCCTTTGGTTATCCTTTATGGTATTGGGTAGTAATCTGAGCCTCATGAGTCATAATCTAATACCACTATTCTCAGTAAACACCTTTTTTAGCCTTACAACTCTTGATCATGTTTTGTTTTTCACTGAGATGTCACCCTCCAGCCCTTGAAAATTGTGTTAGTAAGATAATTTCAGAATGAGTCTTAGTCTCTAACAAAAATGTATTATTCTTGGTTAAACATTGGGAATAACTTGAGTGTCATGTAAGCTTTGTGAACTGACAAGTTGAAAGGCTTAGGTTGACTTAAATAGGATTATGTACAAACTTAGAAAGTATGAAGGAAAAATTTTAAACTTAACACTTTTGAAAGCATCCAGTAAACTATTTTTTTAGCATCCATGTTTTACTATAAAATTAATTCTGCTGCTTCTTTACCAGTGAGGTCACAAGGTTATGTTTTAAAAGGTCCTAAAACATATACCCACAGTAATGTACTGGGTGATAACTTCTAGTGGAAAGCTATTCATTGCACTTAATGCAAATTAGGTGGCCCATCACTTGCTTTTATTCCATTCCATAGAAGTACCTTTGTGCCTCTGGAGCTGAGCACAGGCTGTAATAGTTGCCTTTGAGTTTAAATCTTTGTGAAAGCAGAGAAATTCTCTATTTGAACATTTGATGTGTATGAGATTTTTCAGTAATTTTTAGACATGAATATGTTGATCCCATTCATTAAAGGAAGAGACTCTTGTTATAAATATGATAGAACTTGTTCACTTTATTTTCAAGTATCTATTGGGATAATTTTCACTTCTGGCTGCCTAAAGTGACCACACAAAATGTAGTTTAGTCTACCTTTTAAACCTAAGTTGTAGATTATAGGCACATTTTCAATGTGCAACACAACAGTAGGCATTCTTGTTAAATTAGTTTGAGAAATTCCTTTTATTTTGTACAAGGTACAGTCCCTTTGCACAGTGAACAAATATATTACAAATCTGGGTTATTTAAAAAAGTATTGCCATTTCATAGTCTCACTTATGCTATTGTACAATAATAGTGTTTTCTTTATTCATTTGAATTGAATGCAAATTACTTTGAGTGAAAACTGGTTTCTGTAAAATAATCAGATCTTTCCAAGTTGCCAACAAAATGCACAGTGCACATATTTAGGTTGACCATGAACCTATGTGTGACAGTGCTAGACAGAAGTTCCTAACAGTTGCTCTGTAAGATTGAAATGTCTTTTACCAGTAACTCTTAGATCTGTGAAGGCAGCTGTTGTCACCAGAGATGAATCACACCCTCTGCCTTTCCCTTCTCTGTATTGCCTAATTTGAATTGTATTACATTTCTTTAACATTCATAGAATGCTAGAGCCAGAGGGTTGTTAGAGCTTCTTCCCTCTCTCTCCTTCTCCCCTTTTTAATACGTGAGGAAGAAAGGAGCCCAGAGAGGGCAAGTAACACTCAAATCTCTTAACCCCATGCTTTAACAGTTCCACCATGCTCCCTCTTGCTGAATTTTGCCCATAAGATAGTTGGCAAACAAGAGGCGACACTTGAAACTGGCATGATGCTGCTTGTTTGCAGTGTGCCAGGCAGCAGTTACTGTACATGCAGGGTAGGGGAAGAAGATAAAGCCTGGGATGGAGATGAAGTTTCTCCTGGCTGATCTGACTTCGCCATGCTTCTTGATCCTTGCTTTACAAAGATAATTGAGCACTTGCTGCCGTGAAATACTGAGGTAAGTCTCTTATCTCTATTTCTTTCTACATCTGTATGAGAAATATTTACTTGGGTCTACAAAGGAATTTTCTATTATTTATATTTCATAAGGCTTTTGTGGAAAGGAAATTTGCTATTGCTGATCACTTGCTCCCATGCACACATGCAGCATTCATGTAAGTATTCTATGTTTTCCCCTAACAATAAAATTTGCTTAAGCCGTGAGTGAAGTGAGGGAGGGGGATTTACTTATTTTCTTGCTTTTGCTGGTCATTGCCCCAACTAATGGGTTCCATGGCAGACTTCCAGGTTGTATCAAGGGCTTCAGGACTCCCACACTTCCTGTAGCTGCTATTCCATCTCTGCGGTCATTTAGTTCCTCTTCTGTTTACCTTTTTGGAAGTATTTTTTACTGTCTGGCTGTTACCAGAGAATGGAGTGGTATAGGGGTGGCCATTAGTTTCCTCGGTTTGCCCTTCTGGTCTTTAATTCTTGTGAGGAGGTCCTCTTTTTTAGGGCTTGGGAGTTGGCTCCAGTTTGACTCAAACTGAGCCCCAGTTTACCTGGTTAGTAGTGGAAGGTACAGACACGTCTAAATACTGGGATCTGAAGCATTAGCTCATTGTACTATGTTTTTGGCCATTTCAGTAGGTGGTGGTTTTAAGGTAGAAGTACTTCATATCCTTACTTTCTGTTTACTGTAAAGTTTTACATCATGTTACAGCAGCTGATTACAGTCCATTCTTTTCATTTAGTTTCATCAAAAAGCATCATGTAATTTAAGCAGCTTATTAAACTTGCTATATCCACTTTTATCTAATTTCTTCTACACTTTTAGGTTCTATACTACATCAAGCTCAAGATTTATGAAGAAATGCATGAAAGCAAGTACTCTTCTGAGTCAAGGGATGCCAATCAAATAAATTCGGGAGGCCTTTAGGGATACTTCGTTCTTACCAGTCTGTGACTGCTTGCTTAAAGGCATCATCTCAGAGTTCTGTTTCACATGGAATGACTCAGGTGTTGGATGGATTGAGGAGCTATGACCAGGCTAGGAATGACTTGGCAATGTTCTCAAACTTTGAATCAGCAAGATTTGGTAAAGCTGGCCTAGAAATCATTATAGACTGAAAGAGGCTGCTGCGCTTTGAAAACTCCTACTACCACGAAGGGCAGAAGAGGGAAAGTTAATTTGTATTTATTAAAGTCTTATTTTTAAAAAATTGAAGTTGTCAGTATTAGACTGTATACTATAATCTTGGCTGTTGTGATTTGACAGGTCAGACATAGATGTACAAGTACTTTAGGATTAATAACAGATTAGCATAGTTTGTGTCTGTGTGCTATTTATCTTAGGTAATAAAACAGATGTTGAGGGTAACAGCAATCAAAAGCACATACATTTCAGGATCTTGAATCCTTTCCCCTCCCCAGTTCCCTTTTCCCCCAGGAAGGTTTGTGAAACCTATGCTATATGCTTTCTAAGCATCACGTTTCAGAGAATTATGTATCTCAATACATATATTTAGCTGATGTTGATGAGTAGCCGGATCTTAAGTGTTTTAAAAGATCATGTAATCCTGGGCATTTGGGGTTGGGTGTAGGTAAGTGATAGGATTTGCCTTTGTAAACAGACCGTTTGAACAATTACCCCAGTCCCACTTGGAAGCTCTTCTTTAGTTCCAGGTGAAAGTAATGACTAACACGCAGCTGGAGTCAGTCTGTATCATTATTTCAAGTCAAGGGATTGTCTTCTTTCAGAGTCAGAATATTCAGCAGAGCACATTGCAAGAGAGAGGCTTCTCTCTCTTAAGACTGCTTGTCCTGGGAGGGCCCATTGGCAGGGCTTTGTCTTACTGGGAGGAGGTCATAATGACCAGGAATATGGCTGTTCCTAGGTAGGTCGTATGGATTCTGAATATAGCTGGAGTTATGACCGAGGACTTCTTGGACCATACTGATTGTGGGCTCTAAGGAATATAGTGAAAAATGAGTTCAGAGAACAGATTAGCTTTGGTTGCCTTGTTGAGAGGAATAGAGTTCTATTTAACTTGCTAGGGAGAGAAGCCAGGGATTTATAAATCTGATAAATATATGAGGGTTAGGATTGAGGCTTGCTCATGAAATGGAAAACCTAAGTGAGTGTACTATTAGAATCCCAAGCTCTGGTCAAAACCAAGAGGTTTGGAATATCCTAGAGGTAGGGATCTTATCAGTAAGCCCAGGGACATAGGTGAAACTGGGAGAAGGTCGAAGACGGTGATTTAGAAACTTGCAAATGTCTGTTCTGATTAAATCAGTTGAAGTGTGTATACCCACTGATTGTCCACCCCCAGCATTTCTGCTTCATAGTAGTCCTGGTATTTTTTTAAAGCAGAGTTGACATGAGAATTTGATTTCCTGCATGAGAGAGGAGGGTAATCCTGGGAAAGACCATTCACCTTGGATTCCTTAAAAAGCAACAAAAGAAGGGTGTGTTTTCAAGACAGGGTGAGTGGAGAGGGCTTGTTTTTATTTCAGATGCTGCACTATTGCCCTGATTTCACTAAGTTACTTATTTGAGACACCTACCAACTTCATATATATTTTTATTAGATGTCGACAAGGATGGCATATCTGTATACGGAGACCCCCTGTGCATAGGTGACTTCATTTCTACATAGCTGCTTTCTGGAAGCTTGCAGGTGAGAATGGGTGGGTCCTTAATTGTGGCGTAAGGGTTTTCACTGCTATTCAAGGAACAAGTGCTAGAACTGCACACGGATTCTTTCATGTAATCTGTAAGGCAAGAGAGATTTCTTAGGACATGCAAGGACACAGACTTAATTTCAATACCAGAAACAGATTGCAGTTTATGTGCCGTCAGGATCCTGGATCTGTAAAAGCCTATAATAATCCAAGATTCCCTTCTTAAATATGTTGAAGCATGCTTTCCTAGGTAGGCAGAGTTCTTTTCATAAAGTAACTTACGTTTTTAGAGGGATAGGGACATTCTTGTTCTTAGTAGTCAGGTTCAGAACCAGAAGGGGATTAATTCAGGATACTCATAATGTGCTTTCACAATGTGCTTTCACATCTATTACTTAATTTTTCAAAATCCTGCAAAGATAGTTGATACTTTGCATTTTATAGGATGAAGGCCCAGAGAGATGAAGTGACTTGGCTAATGTCCTATAAGCTCATAAATGACAGTGCCCAGGCTTGAATGCATGCCTTGGGACTCCTTGGCCTGTGTTTGTTCTGTGATATCATTCTTCCTCTGAATTCTTTTTGATGAGTAAGAAATTTAGATTCAAAAGAAGTAGGTGTGTTTTGCCACAGGTGTCAGCAACTTGGCAACCTTTAGGCAGCAAATTTGGCGGCATCCCTGCTCTTGAGAAGCTTGTGATCAAAGGTGGGGCAGACTGAAGTGTAATTGAGGTGTAAAAAGCACCTGGGTCTCAGGCTGGCCTTTGAAAAGTTCCTGTTTTCTAGTAAGGTCACTTACCCCAGTACTTATGAATGCTAACTGAAACCAATTTTAGCAGTATCTTTTTCTGATACTAGGAGAACTCATGCTTCTTTTCCTGCTGCCTCTCAGGTGCATCTTCCCCAAGACTTCAGGGTATATTGGGGTACAAAAGAATGCAGACTAGTCTCCAAATACGAGGAAAAGTAACCGTAGCTCACTGGAGGAAGAAAGTGTTTTCTTTGGAACTGGGAGTCACAGAAGGGAAGAGGAGCCCCTCCTTCAGCCTCTGCCATTTTCTCGTTTTGGGAAGATCACTGGTTCTTATAGATCATTCCAAGTGAGGCAAGACTTGCCTGAAAAAAGCACTAGATTCTCTGTAATCTGGCCAACTCTGGCCCTCATTCTTCTGTGACGATCTGCCAGCCAGGGGGTCTAGAAATAAGCATGGAATTGTAGGGGCTTGACAGTAATGAGTGGTCTTCAGAGGTCTAAATTTCTCTTAAGTGGTAGCAGATGGTGAAATTTCTATATTTCTCAGCTCTAAATTTCTCTAAGTGGTAGCAGATGGTGAAATTCTTGGACAGTCTTCCACTAGAACCATCACATGCTCTCTGCCTCCTTGTGTCCCATGCTTGTGAGATTAATGAAAATGTAAAAAAAAAAATAAAGGGATCATTGTAACTCAAGGGGTGACTAGGTCCTGGGAGAGCAGAACACTCCATGTGGCTGAAAGTTGAGTTGTGGGTCACCACTAGCAATGTTTTCTTCCATAACAGGTGACTGGTTGGGAGGGGATTTACTTAGAATTCTGAGTATAGGGTTACTGATGTTTGTTTCAGCAGGTAACATTTCTTCAATCTTGTACAAAAGTACATTTACCCATTAGTTCATTCAGGTGTTCCTAATACCTGCGATGTAGCTAGAGCAATAATTAATTCTCTCCTTCCCTTTTACTGCTTATGAGGAAACCGTCGCTTGGCATAAGTGACCTCCCCAGGTCACACTGCTGTCCGTAGCAGAGTGCGATCCACAACCAGGCTCAGAGCCTTTTCCATCTCATCCGGGCCCACAGGTAGAGAGAGATGTTGGCCTTGGTCCCATCTGAGATTGTGGTCTCTTTTCTAGCCTAGAACCCTAGAGAGGGGTAGGAGAAAACATTCTTGCTGGACAGTGAGCAGGCCCAGCTGCTGGTGAGGCTCTCATGAGGAAAGGGGGATGTGGGTCCTGGGCCACAGTCTGCCCAGAGCCACATGAAGTTGCTTCTAGTGAGTACTTTGTTTCTTACTACAAGGGGCTGGGGGTGTGTCCAGGAACCCCAGCATGGTCCATCGGTCCCACTTTGGGATCTCTGACCTTAGCAGCCAAAGAGTAAGGCAGTATGACTCGGAGCTGCTGGTTTGGAAGCTGAGGACTAGAACGGCTTAACAGAAGGGCTATCATCTGAGTGAAAAGTCCTCTAACACCCTCCTCTCCTCCTCACCCAGGCACATCCTTTTACTTTGATTGGCGGCTACCTTAGTTGCATGTTTTCTAAAACTTGAGGAATAGTGATAGAAAATGTAGCCCTTATGCTAGTATCTTCACTCTGGTTAGGTCATTTGAAACTTGTTCATTTGTGAAGAGGGCTGGGCAGGAAGTACTATGATTACTGCTTTAGAAAGGAGGATACTGAAGCTCGTAAAGTTCGCCTAATGTTAGTAAATAGGGCTCAACCCATAATCTCCGGTATGCAGTCATGATGTTTTCCACTTGCATCTTACTACCCCTCCTCCTGTTCTAGATCTCTAAATGCAAACTACAGCTGCAACAGTTTCACCTTACCTTCAGCAAGGAATACCTTCTGTCAATGGGGCCAAGCCCTGCTGACAGAGAAAGGCCAAGCTCTAAGCTTTTCGCGGCTAATCCCGTGATTGATTCAGTCACGGCAGTGGCAGTCTTGAAGCTGTGGCTCAAAGCCTAACAGAGCCTCAGTCAGCCAGTAGTATCCCTCTTCTCATTTCCACCAGAAAAGTCAAGGCTGCCTTTAAGTTCGGGGGTATGCAGCAGTCTCCCCACCCCCACCAATCCACAGCGATACTTTGCAAGACCCCCAGTGGATGCCTGAAACCACAGATAATACTGAACCCTCTATATATTTTTTCTTATGCGTATATGCGTACATAACCTATGCTAAAGTTTATAAGTTAATCACACTGAGGTGAACCACAGTAACTAATAGAATAATTATAACAGTAAAATGTAATAGATATTATATGAATGGGGTCTCTCAAAATATTTTATTGTACTAGACTCACCCTTCTTGTGATGACGTGAGATGGTGAAATGAGGTGAATGACCTAGGTAGGCATTGTGACAGGCCACTATTGACCTTGATCATGTGAGGGGAGGGGGCGGGTAACAAACTGAGGAAAGAAACTGCAGATAAGAGGACTACTGCAAATAGTTTGCTGTGCAGCAGGGGATGCACCTAAGTGAATAAAAGAGAAGTTGGGGTTGGGGGAGGGGATTCATTTCAAGGGGAAGCTGTACCTTCCTTATATAAAGGGGCCAGAGGGAAAGAAAGGATGGAGAAGTGTATGTGTGGGTTGAGGTGGTCGGAAAGGGGTGTTGGATTATAGATAATCTGGATTCTATTTCTGGGAACTGAAGGGAGGAAAGGGCAAGGCTTACTGGAAAATTTACACTTCAGAAATATTCTTCTCTCCTGCTGAGTCATCTACCTGCCTGCCCTCAGGGAGGGTGGGGTAAGGGGAAGAGCAACCAGTCTCTCTAAAACATTTCCTCATCCTTTTACAGCCCCACCCTACCCAGTCAGTCCCTGCACTTCAGGGCATTTTGCAAAGAAAGGGGAAGCGTCAACGAAGGCTACCTAAGCTTTGGAGAGTTACTCCTCCAAGGCCTGTAATTAGCATCAGGACTGAAGGCTTAGCTTTATAATGCCTTGGTGTTTGTTCTCACGTAGTTTCTACCTCTTCCAAATCACACAGAGTCCTATACCCTCAAAAGCAGAAGGGGCCTTGGAAATGAGCCTAAACACCTTCATTTTATAAAAGCAGCAGCAAATCCAGAGAGGGGAAATGACTATCCAAGGCCACTCTGTGAGTGGGATTGGAACTTATCTAGGCTTTTAGGTTCACACGAGCATCTAGGTAAAGTCAGTATTTAACTCTTGGGGAAAACCCAGGCACTGAACATCTGTTTCTTCTCAGCCTACTACTATTATTAGAAAGCCACGCTGCCTTTTCTCTTCCTGGGCGCTAAGTTAGCACTCTTTTCCTTGAGAGACAAGGATATGGGGAGAAGAAAAGGGAGATTTCACGGTCAGAAGGAGAACCACACTGGCTAAAAAAAGTTTTCAGGATGTCACTGGACTCCTCACTACCTTGGAATCCAAAGTTACTGCAAGGAGACACGTGGAGGCTGGATTAGCAAGGAGCATACAGGTAGCTTCCCTGTGGCAGCAACAGTGGGATTCAGGATTTCAGGATCATAAAGGTGATGGAGCGTGCTAGGGAGGATTTCTTCTGTAGCACTTTGAAATGCCTGACAGACAAGGAATTAAACATAGGCAGTTTGTTACAGTATCATTGTGTTGAGGGGGAGATGGATAGGTGTTTAGAGGTAAAATGGGGTTAGCATAGCAAGCAATGTGTGGTGTGTCGTGTAACTTCAGGATGACAGTGAGCGGAGGTCTAAAGTAAGACGGGCAAGAAGGAACACTGGCTGAATTAGGCCTTAGAGACGGTGCTAGTACAACCTCATCGTTCTAACGGAGGCAGAAGAACCAAACGCAGAAAATAACAGTGTGACCTAGTCCTAGTCAGTGCCACACAGGAAGAACTAGGACTAGAATCCAAAACTTCCAGGCCAGGGTCTTGAGACCACTGAGTTCAGAGAACACTCAGACTCTTCACTCTTAAGGGTTATTTGGTTTGGCCCAGTAGTTTTAGGAAATAATTTCATTCCTGGTACAGACTAGTTTATTAAATGTTTATTAGGGAGTTCAGTTAGTGGGGTTTATTCCATGTCTTTGATAAATATTTCTGTAAAGTTCCAAACCGTGACATTTCATTTTCCTGTTCTTGAATTCTCTTGTTCTGATGTGTTGGTTCCCAGCACCTGTTGGCATATTTACCTGGGCAGCCGCCTTTTCTCTAAAGGATGATTATAGCCAGAGTGGTGAAACAAAATCTGGCTGCAAAATCTGGCCTTCCCTGCACTCAGGCTCAGATACATGATCCCACAAAACAGGAATGAATGACGCTGAGGCAGAGACACTGCCCTTCTTAGCTTTGTTATATACACATTTATGGTTTCGAGTCTGAAAGCAGTTACCCTAATCACAATGCACAGGACAACAAAGTGCATAGGAAAGTTGTGTGCTCATTAATTGAGCTGTTTGGGCCTGTCTGAGCTTATTCATTCTTGAGTCATGCATATTTTCGGAGCTAGAAAGTCTCTTAAGAGATCTTTCTGCCCAGTCCCCACACCTCTTTGAGAAAGAAACAGGTCTCAGGTCACGGTGATAAAACAGTAAAGCTTTTAGCTTCACTACTGTAATGGTGCTTGCCTCCATGTGGATGGTTTGAGTCAATACGCAGAAAATGGCCAGAATTGATGCTCCCAAGGGAGTAGTGAACTTCGGCTGACCAGAAGCCGAGGGGTGACCTCCTGTTTTCACATTGTTCTCTTGGGCTGTATACATCCTAATGTGTTCATGGAGACTTGCCCTTCCTGCTCTCTTGCTCAGAACAACCCACCCCTAGCTCACCCCACTTTTAATAACCACTCCACCAAGGGCTATAGATGACTAGCTCTCCTTGGTTAGGAAATGGTTGTGTCACAGGTATAACTAAGGCTAAGTCTGAAAGACAGAACAGTAATCCAGGAAATCTGGGTCAGTCTAGACCTGAGACCTAAGAATGCCCTGAACTAGTTATTACAAATGCAGATTCCAGGACCCCACTCTAGATACACTGCTTCAGAGTCTTGGGAAGATGGGGTGTGGACCTCTGTATGTTTAACAGGCTTTCCAGGTGATTCTGGTGCACAGCTAGATCTATGATAGCCATTGGGATCTTTGCTGTCCGTCATCTCTTTCAGTGTGGCTGAGACTCCTAAATAGACCTCAGAGACAAAAGGACAGCCCTGTTACATTAGTACAATCTTTTATAATATGCAGAAACACTTCCCATCTCTGATTTTTATTGAATACTCAGGATAACCTTATTAGACACTAGGATAGGCATAATTATCCCAACCTTGCAAATGAGGAAACTAGGCCTTAGAGAGCTCCCAGTCTAAGGGCACGGTTAATACTTGACAGAGTAATAAGTGACATAGTCCCAAAGCCACCTATTTCACACATTCTCTTATTTAAACGTAAGGCCTAAGCCCAGGGCAGGACCTGACCTTCATCTTTGGTTTCACACTCAGACTTCTTAGAAGGATGATCCAACTTGCTGTTTTGGGATGTGCTTGGGATTAGTCCTGACCTCCCCACTCTCAGGGGCAGAGATCTCGAGGGTGGAGTGCCATACAGTATTAACACTAGGTATTAATTTTCATTCCTTGTGCCCCAGAAAGCCAGCAGGTGCAGGGTGGCAATCCTCGCCAGCATGACGACAGGAGGCCTCTGGGGCAGGTAGATTGACTTTATTTCAGAATTTATAATCAATTTAACTCATTCTAATTGGTTAGATAATGACATTCTCCCATTTCTGAAGACATTTAGTTGGCATCTATAAAAAACCCCACAAGCGCTTGCTAAGCAGGTGCAACTTAAATCGAAATATAAATTCATTATTATGATGATTGCTCCTCCTGAGCAGAGCTACCCAGCAGCCCCAGGTCCTGTGGTCTTTTTACTTTTGAGGGGAATGAGGGAAGAGATGTGCGCAGTGTCTCTCTGGTAGAATTCCTGGTCATTTCACATTTGTACTCTTTTATCTTGCTAAGCCCTTTCTAATGGGACGTCAGGATTGGATACTCTACCTTTGAAGCCTTTGTCCATAATGTATGTGTTCTGACGTCTATCCATTCCACAAGCACCTGCATTAAAATAGAATAAAGAGAAAAATGGGGTGAGTGACGTTTACTTAGACTGCATGTGTTTTTGCTTTATTTTTTCTTGCCTTTTTTCCCCTTCCTTACCCATAAAATTAGTTCTTTAGTGCTAGAGGATTATTCTGGGTTTAATCTACTCTAAATCATTTTGACGATGCAGGAATTCTTACAGGGCTCAGAAGCATTAGTGGTGAGCTACAGCGCCCCCTGGCATATGCAGCACTCCTCCTCTTTAACCTTGTTTAACTCTGAGGGGTATGTCTTCATGAGGTGATCACAGGCAGTTCTGATGCCACCTGCAGTCAACTATAGGTGAAGTCCCAAGCTCCAGAAGTACAGGATAAGGAACGAATCAAAGCCGGTTCTTAGCTTGGGGAAGGGGGGTGTATGACATTCCAAATCCCAGTTCTGTTGGATCTTGGAATAGGGTTGAAGACCGTTTCTTACCTCTCAGCTCTGGTCCTACCTCCTCTCCTGGATCTGAAGCTCGACTGAGGGGAGCCAGGGAGGGAGGTGGACCGGTGGCTGAGATTCTTGATTAGTGATCTTTCCAGGATGTAGTCACTCCCATCCATAGTCTGCTCTCTTAGTTACACATTTTGGGGAGTGGACCATTTGTACATAATTGAGACTTGTCTTTGAAAAGTATTACCAGTGTTTTTAATCTGAAGGATTCTTCTCCATTTTGGCTGTCACAGTTTAACCGGCTCCTAAAACGCATGGTCCTTAGCCATAGCCAGAGGCAGGACATAAAACTTCAGGGACCAAGCTCAGGCTCTTTGCTGCTGGTGATATCAGAAAAGAAGCTGTCTGGCATTTTTAGGTTGAGACTGTAATGACTCTGGCTCAGAGTCCTTTTTTTTTTTTTCCCAGCTTTTAACTGAGGACACACGACCAGGCAAGGCATGCAGCAAGTAATTACTAAAATACAACGTGACTCCACTTGACTCTCCCCTGTTTGAGACACTGAAGGCCAACCCACTGCTGTTTAAAGATTATTTATTTATTTATTTATTTGAGAGAGAGAGAATGAGAGGCAGGAGGGTCAGAGGGAGAAGCAGACTCCCTGCTGAGCAGGGAGCCCGATGCGGGACTC